TAATAACCACCAAACTAGGCTGAAACAAGTTATGTAACATAATCACAATTGAATTCATCATAAGACGGATCTTGGTTAGAATCAATGCCCTTAATCGCATTCAAACCATCAACAAAATCAGTAGAATTGGGAAATCTTATGGCAAAAAATGGGTCTATTTTTAGTAATTGAATACAGTGATACCGTCGATAATGGTGGCAAGACAAATTTATCCACATCTTCAAAATTCAAATGAGACGTATTCTTAAACGTTCCAACTATACAGAAGTCAACTCTAAATCCACCTGAATTATTACAATATGCTGATTACTTGATGATTTTGTATTACCATACAAGGTATATAAATGAGATTTTCTATATCCCATTAACACAACATGGGCTCATTTGATAACTTTTGAAACTTCACCTTCAACGGTATACATGTACCATTTTGAATCAAGAGTATTTAAGGAGATAAGTTTTTCTTCAAATATGGAACGTGTCTCATTGCATCAAGTGTTATAACTGTCTCATCAAATATCTTTATTCTGACCTGACCAATGCTAGCTATCCAACAAGGTGTGTTATTACCAGTCATCACAACACCTTTTGAAACTTCTTCATATGTTGAAAACAATTCTCAATTGGGTGACATATGAAAAATGCAAGCTGTATTCAAAATCCAAATCTCGTCAGGTTTGGAGTTGTAGTCAGACATAAGTATAAGCTCTCCATCACTGGTAGAATTTTATGCAATACTTGCTTCTCCTGAAATTTATGATTGTTGATTTGCAGTTGACTTTGATTTATTCTGCAACTTATAACAATCGTTTACCAAGTGCCCATTTTTCTTGCAATAATTACAAATTTTAAAATTAGATTTTAACTTGTCCCTCGAACAACCACCATGAATAATAAAACCATCTTCATGATCCCCAAATGTTACAAGATACTTCATCTTCTCCTTTAAATATAGAGCATCGTAGACTTCTACAATAGTGAGAGTATCACAATTATATAGAATCGTATCTCTAAAAGATATGTATAATATGGGCAATGAACACGTCAAAATCAATCACAAATCTTCTTCATCATATTTGACCTTCAAGGTCTCCAAATCAGCGATGATTTCTTTAAAATCAATTGGGTGATCCTTAAGAGATGTACCTTCAATCATACGATGAGAATATAGACGTTACTTCAAATGCAATTTGCTAGTAAGACTCTTCGTCATATATAATTGTTCCAATTTTAACCGTAATGCAGCGGTTGACTTATTCTTCAAAACGTCCTAAAGAATATTGTATAAAAGAGGAAGATGCATTTGAGATAAGGCATTTTGATCCCTCAGTTGTTTCTCCTCCATAATCCAGATTGTGGGCATCTTGTCAAATTCCAACATGCAATCTAATAGCGGAATATTATACTTTATTGTTGTCATCAAGAAAAACATCGATCTTCCCAAGAATTTCAACACCAAAGGCTCTAATACCACTTGTTATGAACTGAAATACTCCGATTCCAGTTTATTGTGAAGAAATAAGAGACTAAGTGTTATATGAAGTGATTGATCACAAGAATACAAAAATATAGTAATTTTTCAAATAATGAATATTTTATTATAATATGGAGAAAGAATACAAATATTATGTGTTTATGATTTGTCTAACTTTTTCAAACTTCATCTAAAATACAATGAAGAGTTAAATATATATAGGGAACAAATAGAAAACGACCAAACCCTCATAGTAGAGTTATAGTTGAAGTAAAGTGTCAAAAACGAAGTTCAAAATGGAAAAGGATAGAAAAATAGCGCAAGGGAGAAACAGACGGGCAGCGCCTCAGTGTTGTCCATGGCACAGCGGCGCCCTAGCCCGACGCTGTCGTGGCGCCACGGCTTCCACTTTCGGGTCCTTTACTCCAAAAATCTTATTTTTTTCATCTCAATGTCTTCTTCAAGTCCAACAAAAATTCTTACACCCAATAGACTTTCAAATAGAATTTAATTTGCCAAGTAGATTTGAGTAGTATTTAATAATAATATTCCAAATAGAATTCTTATTAATGTGAACTTTAATTAGAACTCTCAATTATTTTTAACAAAGAATTCGGGTGACATCCAAATTCTAACATGTTTTTATTTTAATTTAGACAAAAAAGTGTTTTACTTTAACGGAGTTGATTTATTTGTATTTTTTTGTACACTTGGTCATATTTTTGTGAATTTTGATTTGTTGCAGTTGTCACACCTATCCTTTTGAAACGTTGCAAGAGAGGCACTTGTGGACGGTTTTCATCCAAAATACCGTCAGTTGACTCAAAAAATTAATTTTGACTACATTTTAATCAATTTTAAAAAGGGTAATTAGCTATTAATCTCATTAATTAGGTGTTTGGTGGGGATGAAAAATAGATTTTTAATAGATTGTGATAGAAATTTTTGAAATGTGTGGTTGAAAAGTTGTGAGACCCCTGAAAAATATGGTTAATATTGATTGTTTAACTTTGACTTATATTTAAATTTGATTTTAATTAGAAACAAACGAGGCCTAAATAATAAATAATAAACAAAAAAATAAAAAAAGGTCATCCCTACCCCAAACGAAACCCCAAACCAGAACCGACGGATGTGAGTAAATTTGGGGTGATCTACACTGGAGTCCAGGAAAATGTCTGTCCATCTGGGGTTACAATTGTGATAATAAGGTCGAATTTGATTGGAAATGCGCAACCAAATATTCCTGTAATGCTAGAGTATAAGATCCACGCCATCCCCTTTGCTTTCAGTATTTATATGTGTGGGTTGGTGTTCGAGGATCTCATTGTTCATGGTGGATTGAACGAGGTGGAGAAGAAGAATGTAAAGAAGGTACAAATATTGTATGACACCATTGATGGGAGCAAAGGGTTCTTTAGATATCCAGTGAAAAAGAGTGTGAGGTCATTGATGAATGTGCCATTTACTTTAGTAAAGCTGGAGTTGGAAGCTGAGTTATTGAAGGAAGTAGCCAAGGAGAAGATGATGCCGTTGAAGGGGCACAAGTCGGGTGGCAGCATGAGAGCTTTAATATACAACGCTATGCCTTTGGCTGGGGTTAGGAGGAGAGAACATCTGGTTTGGGGTTTCGTTTGGGGTGGGGACGATCTTTTTATTTTTATTTATTTTTGTTTATTATTTAATTATTTAATGTGATTAATAGTTAATTACCATTTTGTCCTTTTAATCCTTATTAAAATGTGGTCAAAATCAATTTTTTGGGTTATTTGATGGTATTTTGGATGGAAACCGTCTAAAAGAGCTTCTCCTGCAATGTTTCAAAAGGTTAGGGGTGACGACTGCAACAAATAAAAGGTTTGAGAAAAGTTGGCCAATATTTGTAAGGTTTGAGGCTTTTGCAGCAGTTATCCCATTAAAAAATGAACAATCTAGTCAAGTAATGTAATATGTTTAATGAAATGAACTCTATTAAATTATTATAAATCTTGTACTTGTGAAGGTTTGTCTATTGCGGATGTAATAAAATATTATATTTTCTAAGTTTTTTTTTTATTTTTATATCCATAATGATATATTTTAACTAAAATGATTTCATCTAAATCAAAATTATGAAAAAGTATATTTTACAAAATAATAAAAAAGAAAACATCTACAGTTTAAATATAATGAAATTGCAATTTCAAATTAGTTTAACAGGGTAAAATAGAAAACATATATTTATTTTTGCTCATCATGGGGAAAGCTGTTATAAAAATAAACTTCATGGAGGTTTATATAAATTTTAAAAAATTGATATTTCTGTCATTGTCATCAATGTCAGG